CCGACAGCAGGAATATTGTGAAGTGTTGGTGTTTTCTGGTGGCCGGGCGTTGCTTGAGCGGGAGGAAGCCCTGGTTGAAGGGCAGCGAAGGGGCAAAGCTGCCCTTCAAAGCGGCCAGTTGGTCTCTGCTGGAAAAAGCGGGGGTCGCTTTGCAGAAACCGGGCAAAGTTTCGGCACCTGCTGCTTCGGGCACGAGCTCTGCCTCCCCAAACAGCCGCTGATCCTCCCAGACATCCGGCTAGGGTCCGCCAGCCCTTCTCTCTCTCTCGTGTTTGTTTTTTTTTGGTGCTTCTGGTCCTACCAAATGGCGGTGTCGAATCTCCTTTCGATTTATAATAATGGGCTGGCGGGACAACCTTCTCTTTTCTGCCCCTAAATACCGGGCATCCGAACCAGGCTTCTTAGTTGCTTCCGTACAGAGTTCACCGCCTGTACCTTTCTTAACTCAACGCAAACATTTTAGTTTTGAAGGGACAGAAGTTGTATTGCAAGGTTGCATTTACCTCTCTTAAATAAAGTCCACAAAGACAGGTGCTATCCAGTAAAAAAGTACTTCCATAAAATTCAGGGGAAAAAAACCCACTGGATAAATCGATTACTTTGTCTTCTCAAATAAACCATTGAATCCTGAAAATGAAATACATATACAGGGCGGCTTTTTGGTGCTGGGGGCAAAGTCAAATTCTGCTCTTACACCTCCCCCCCCCCCCACATACTCCCATTTTGTTAGGAATTTCAAAAAGACAATTTTTTTTCTTCCAGCTTTACAGTTTAAATTTTCAGCCCTGGACAATGTTTTTTTTAGACATTTTCTCCCTACTTACACAATACATTAAGGTATTTTAAATCACCTCAGCTGTCATTGTTGTCATATAGCAACAATTCTGCAAAATCTGTTTGCTACTAAAACTCTTGTTCCTTTAACCTTTAACAAGGTGAAGTGGTGCATCATAGAGCAAGGCGTTTTCAACTCAGGTACCTCAAATGGGCTAACTTACATAATGTATCCCAAATCTGGGACCTCTGACTTCAGTGGAATTGAAATTTAGCAAATTTCATAGAACATTTTATTACATAGAATTCTTCATAAAATGACATATTAAATGAACTCTGGGATACTTTATTTATAGGCAATTAATCCCCCAACTTGACTTTTCAAGGCTTCCAATGGTGCACCCGTTGTCACTGTAATTGAGTCCATCCAGTCTGCTGATTATCCTCTTCCATTTCATTTTTCCCAGCCTTAAAATCTTCTCAAGTGAGCTGTGAACATCTTGTGCTCAGCATAGTCATTTGCAGGTAAGTTAAAAATGAGTAAACATTTCAACTTTATTTTTTGGTGGGAGGGGTCTTCTGGCAGATATATACGCACATATAACTGCAATATGCACACATTAATTGAGGGGCTGAGGATTTCAGGATTGGTTTTAGCTGGTGTTGGCCTCCTTTGGTTGATAAGATAGAAAAGCTAGCTGTGCACAAGACTTTGGACTGTATTGATAATTAAGACAGTAGATTATTTGTAGCTCTATAGTTGAGTCTTAGATACTCTCTGACTTTGCTTCCTTGTTTATCTGCAGGTATTTCTTTACCAGACTAGGTAATATATTCAGCATAAGCGCACCAATGTGCCTACCGCCCCTGTCCTATTGTTTCTTTTTATTTTTCTTATATGTATCCATTTCATGTACTCATAACTATGTTTATACCTATACCTATTATCTTGTAAGCGGTTGACAAATAAATAAATGTTGGTAATTATTTTCTCTATTCTAACTTTATGGAAGAGGGGAGGTCAGTTTAAATTACAGGTTGCCTTCCTATATATACTATATATTCTATATACTATATATTCTAGCTTCATAACTAAGCATAATGTAAAGACCAATGAAAGTACAAACATTTCTTTTAAAAAACCTGTTTTTTCCTAGTTTTCGGCTAGCGCCATAGATGAGCATGTGGCTTTAATGACTATAAATCCATTATCGGAAATACTGAGTGCAGTATCTCCATCATTGCTATCACCATCACCCATTCACTAGTCTTGATGTGTTCATTGCTATGGCTGTTTTTGCCCTAAATTCTTGCACAGGACATTTAAACTAAGTGAAAAAGTGGGACTAAAAAACACCAGATTATACTCTTCATATCACTTTCCATGGGGAAGAAATCCTGTGCAGTTGCTTCACAGGGGTTGCACAATCGTTGTTAATGGTTACATTAGAATGATGTCACAATGCTTCTGTAGGAAAGCATGACATTTTTCTTGAACTTATATCCATTGAGAATGTATAATAATGATATGCATATAGGAGTAGGAAGGTACTTTATTAGCTATAAATGTAGGAAATTACTTCAATAAGGGTTGTAGACAAAACAAAAACAGCTGCAGATATGACACAGGATAAAAAAGAGAAGATTGGCATCAAAACTAATAGTAACCAAGCTAAAACAAAAACCTGTGATCAAAGGACCAAAAAGAAACTTTCTACCACTCTTTTGTAAGTATATCATTACATTGACCCAAGGAGAGGGAAGCATCCCTGGTTACTGTTGGAGTTCACCTTTCTTGGGCATTTGCCAATTTGAGACTGCATCTAATTCAGTAGGGGGGCCTAAAGGAAGCCCCATCTCCTTTCACTGCAACCCAGATTGAAGGATGTTATTAAATTAGGGCTCACATGCTTGGAAAATACAATATATGTTCACATGCTTAGAAAACACAATAGGCAGACAAGGAGTTTGCTCTGGTGTCCCATGCTGTTGCAAAGATCATCTTACCCTGAACTTCTGCTTGCATTTGGAAAATAATCTCAGTTTATGTAGCAACTTTTGGGAGAGTGAAAATTTTCTCTGGAACCATGGCAAGGATTTAAAAGGCTGAACTCCCCATTGTTCATGGTAGTCATTTATGCATCCATGTGGTTGCTATTTGCAAAGGCTATTTCTTTCTCTTAGCCACTTGAGATGTACATAATTTAAATGAATGAATGAATAGAAAGATACATATATAAAAACTTGGATTTTTGCAGGAGCCTTTTGGACACTGAGGATGAACTTTCTAGTATCCGGTGGGATTCAGTACCTATGGACGTAAAGGAGTGGTTAACAGGCACTTTTGCAAGGAAAAAAGAGGCATACAGACTGCAGCCTGATGAAATAACAAGCTTTCGGAGTATTTCATATGCTTTAGAGAATGGCGTTGTGGTAGAAAGGCAAGCATAGATCGCATAGCAAATTATGAGCTTTTCAGAATATGACCTAAATGATGTAGTTGATAATTAGAAAAATGAATTCCAGAATCAGAGCTAGAATTGACCAAAGTTGTTGTTATGGGAAAAGAG